AAATGAATCTGTATATAAAACAGAAACAGACTTGCAGACATAGAAAACAAACTTATGGTTACCAGAGGGAGAGGGGAGCAAATTAGGAGTATGGGATTAACAGATACACAAACTACAATACATAAAATAAACGAGCAACAAGGATTTACTATATAGCACAGGGAACTATATTCAATATTTTATAATCACTTATAATGGAATATAATCTGAAAAAAAATAACTGAATCACTTTGCTGTACACCTGAAACTAACACAATACTACAAATCAACTATACTTCAATTAAAAAAAAAGTTGCAATAGCTCCTAATATTAAAAATTAGGAAATTTCATATAAAAATTGTGATTTCTGCCTTCTCTTGAAAATTCAGGAAACATGTGACAAGTCAGGGCCCGCAATTCCAGAGGCAAAGCTGCCTGAAGCCGGCTTGCAGCCACCCCTATGATGGACACATGCCCCTCGTCTGCTGCGGTCTCCTCAGTCCCTCTCACCCTGCTGCCCTGTTCGCGTAGTTCACCCGCGGACATGCAGGGGTTTGAGCTGTTTCTCCCAGCTAGAACAACAAGCTGCTAGAGACAGGCTGACTATGACAGAAAAGAGGAGGACTAAAGCAGTGGTATCTGTGTAATGGACCCAAAGCAGTGCGGGCGACGCTGGGTGGCCAAGGAGAAGACCTCGTCTAAAGTGAGAGGTAGACAGACAATGAGTTAGGAGGGCAAGGCAGTCACCGACGGGGGCAGGGAGATGGCTGGGCTGTTTATCATCTTATTTTTCTTCTTTAAATGGGGACAAAATGCAGCAGAGATGCACGCGTCCCTTTCAGCCCAAATACAGGGACTAAGGCTCTCCCCCTGGTTGGTCTCCTGTGGACAGCAGCACCCTTATGGCCTAATGTGAACAGCATGGCCACCAGGCTCTAGAATTAGTAAAGCACTCTTACATGTATTTTCCTTCACTTACCTCTGAACCACAATTTTGCAAGCTAGACTAGGCAAATGGTATTATTGTGTGTCACAGATGGGGAAACTGAGGCCTGGGAACTTTGATGGAATTCAGACCAGGCTTTTGTCAACACAACCTACAGACTTGCCGGCCCTTGGCAATGACCTGTCCTGGACTGCAGGGAACACTGGACAACTTCAACTTGCCTGGACAGTGGCTGTTCAGACACCACCAACGCCAGCTAGTGACTTGGAAAGTTTTTCCCTTACTAGGATGCTCTTTCCCTGGACAAATCCATGCCTCCCCTCCCCCGTTCCAAACTCAGCCAAGGAGTTTGCTCAGCCTGCAAGGCAGTGGTCAGTTATGTCTAGAAACCTCCCTTATTTGTTCACGAAAGCCCTGCAAATATTTTGGCAAATAAATTCAGAAAGCCGGAAACGCTAATTATTAGGCAGAGACAAACCCACAGTAATAACATAAACAACAAAGTGCCTTTTCAGCGCTGCTATTCAATGTGCCTTCCTGTTCCAGTGCCACAAAAAACACGCCGGGAACGGCCTGGAGGGGATGGAAGAGGAAACGACGGCTTCCAAGACCTCGTCCTGTGGGCAGGCGGCGGCCCTCCCATTTGCTGTAGCAGAGTCAGAGAGGAAGGGCGGGGGTGTGTGTGCAGGGAGAGCAAAATGGATCAAAGAATGGAGCTCCTTAAGAATCCTGGGAAGGTGGGGTACGTACAGTCCTTTAATGGCTGAACTTTTTTGTTTTTAGGTTGGGAATAAAATGGGCAAGAAGATAACAATTTGGCTCAACTGGTCACACAGACATGTGAATAATCCTTTGTCAAGACAGATGCCCATCTCGGTCCTCCACACGTGGCGGTGCGTCATGTGCTTTGTGTAAAGATGTGTGCACAGTGGGGTCACCCTGGTGCCTGAAACCCTGCCGGGATTCTGCCCACCCAGCTGGGTGCCTTGTTCAGCCAGGAGGAAGCGCCTTTTTATACGTGGGTGCTGTCATTTGCACAACACACTCCTAACAGCAGTCCAGACCTGGGGAAAGGTTTGCTCATGTCAGCTTCTGGCCCTTTCGGCCTGTGTCACTTTACATGTGAGGCAACAGGCCAGTTGGATGTCCTAGATTTGAGTACCAACCATGTAGAGCCTTACACAAGCCAGGTAAGTGGTTTTTTGCTTCACTTTCTGCAGCCAGAGCAAGGAGGACAGCCCCACCTGTCCCTGTCTCCTTAGGGCCACTGTAAGCCACTGCCAAAGTCTAATCCTGTTTCCTCAACGTGTCCAGAAATGTCTTCCACAGAGCTTTCCCGTATATTGATATCACATTCTTCTTCCTCACTTCAGTTCCAAGTAAATAAAAGAAGAAAGACTGTAAGTTCAATGATGTGCTAAATGGCCAAGGACCACAGGCCCACTTTAACAGGAGAACTTCCATTTCTGCAGCAAATCACACTTTCATGGGTCGAAATTCCAACCACGGTCACAGATCTTCAAGTCATCTCACTAGTCTTAACACTGCCACTCTGTTAAGTAAGTCCATTGCCGACATCTCTGAGGCAGCAAAACAAACCCCAAATTGGCTTGATTCCCCCCACTGAGTGCTGGGATACAGATTCCTGGCCAACTCAGAAGAGCTGGCAGCTTGATACTTCTTCCACAGTCAGTCTGGCCAGGGCGACGCCAGAACAATTGGTCTCCTTGCCTTGTGAGATGACAATTAGCGTAGGGGGAGCAGGGAGCAGCCTATCCAGGGCGCTGGACCTCTCTGCCTTTCTGAGGGACATGGCACTCCCTCTTGTCAGAGCCATCTGCTTCGTAAGATGCTCTGGGGATGCTGCCGGCTTCCCTTGAGGCAGTCTAGAGGGGTACCAGGCACAGAAGACCTTCCAAGGCATTCTTTGTTGGGGAAAAAGAAAGATGCAAGGACTCCAATGAACACTGAAAATCCAACTGAGAACCAGAGATAAATATTCGGCAGTAAAATGCAACGCTATGTCAGAGACGATACCATTCTAGACATAATAAAGGAAAAAAGGGACAAACGTTTCATTGAGAAGTGCCTCAGAGCGTGGCATGAAGAAAATGCGTGGTGACAGGAATCCGGCCCCATTGAGGAAAATCCAAGTTTGGTGACAGCATCCCCGGCAGCAGCATTAGGCTCTCGCACCAAGTGTGTTGCTCGACATGCTGTGACTGGGAACGCGTGAGTCACAGGACAGCACCCCACCACCCGACTCGACTCAACAGCAAAGGACATCACTTATTTAACTGTGGCAGAGGATGAATGACGACTCCCCGGGGTTTCTGGAAAGGAACATATCTCATTGCAGGGGTGGGTGAATTAAAACAGGACTCTCAAAACAAGCATCCTGAAACTATTTTAAAAATGTAGTTATTTAGAAATAATGAATAGTCTTTTATGAAAAGCTGTCAGGTGCTTCACAGGGTTCCACTATTTCTCAGCTTCAGGCAGAGCTCTGACACTGGGGTAGGGATGGGGGTTCAATTAGTAGCCATGTGGAGGCTAAAATTCAAAACCTTGCTTTAACCATGACCCCCTGGATCCCTTATCTTCCAGGTCTTTGTTTCTTCTTCCAGCCAAACCGAGTTAAAATGGGCACCTGCGCTGGCTTCCGGCCTGCCCCCTGCCCTCCGCCCGCAGCCTGCTGTAACTCCGCTTTCAACACCAGAGCTCCACTGACACCACACTGGCCAAGACGTGGTCAAGTCCAAGGGGGCTTTTTCACTTCTTCTCTCGTCTTCTTTTCAGTATTTTTAATACTGACCACTCTTTCTCAAACTGTGTTCTTCTGTGATTTCCGGTACTACATTCCCTTCTTCTAGAATACCAGCAGCATCTGATCTTTCCAGCCAGCCTTTCACCCGAGTTCCAGGCCAGTGCTTCCAAATATCTGCGAGGCGCTGCATCCGCCATCCGTAAGTCACCTTCTCCCCCAGCATGTCCCCAAACACCACTCAACTGCTTCTCCCAACCCCTCAAAGTGGGGCTCCCTTCCTCTTTCTTCTCTGTCAGAGTTTGCAGTGCTCTTACTCTCCTAGTCACCTCCGCCAGAAACTTCAGACAATCTCGGCTCCTCCTTGCCTCCTGAACTGTCACTCAGTGTCTCCTCACTTCCAGTCGCTAAGTCTCAGTCGGTCTACTTCTTACCCGTCTCTCAGGTTGTTTCCCTCCTCTGCACCCCCGTGCCCACTGCCCTCCTTCTCTCCTACGTGGACCACAGCAGCAGCTTCAATACTCTCCTCCTGCATTCGGGGAGCTCTCCTTGAAATCCATCCTCCACACTGCTAGCAGGTGATTTTTCATGAACACAAACCCAACCACATTATTCACCTACTCAAAATCCTCCACCCCAACCCCAGCTCCACACTTTCTACAGGACAAAGGATTTCCAGTGTAAACCCTGTATAATGTCCTGGTCTCCTTGGCTCCAACTCTGCACCATTAATCTTGGCCAAGCAGCTCCCTGTCAGTTTCCCAAGCCTGGTAAGCCCATTCGTACCACCAGGCCTTCTCTCTTGAGGTTCTTTTTGCTTTGAATGCCCTTGGTCCAGGCTTCAAAACTGCTACTTGTCAGGGGAAGAGAACAGCTCAATGTTAAAGTGCATGCCTAGCATGCATGAGGTCCTGGGTTTAATCCTCAGTACCTCCATTAAAAAGAATAAATAAGTAAACCCAATTACCTACCTCCCCACGAAAAACAACAAAAACAAATTAAAAAACCCAGCAAACCCACTACCTGTCCTTCACTACCCAACTCAAACGCCTCCTTTTGTCTGAAGCCTTTCCTGACCCTCCCCATGTCCATTCCCATGGAGTCACCCCTGTCTTTTATTCCCATAGCAAACGTGCATCTCCATGCCTGGTTGGTCTCACAGAGGGTCTCAGTGTGCCCTGAGAACAGAGATCCCTCACTTCTTTCTTTTCTCCTCTCTGCAGCTCAAGTGATCAGAGCCTCATAACTGATCAACAAACGTGGAAAAACAGAGATGCTGTCCTGTCTCAGACCTTCACAGGTGCGTGTAATTTCACATCCTTCCTCTCCACGCAAACCTCTGCTGGGGAACGTACACATACATGCTTACTTCACCCAACAAGGAGACGTCTGGGACGGGGAAGGAGCAGCAAGGTTGTACAGCTTGCCTGTAATCTAAGAGGCAGAAAGACTCCTTAAACTCAGATTTTCAGATAAAAGACTCATTTTTTTCTTTTATGGTCAACAAAGAGTTTCTGTAATAAAACTCCCTCAAAACAGGGTGCCTATTGTGTAGGACTCACCTCCTCTCCGACCACAGAATTTTAAACATTCAATGATAGATCCTTTGAAGTGTATCACTACCTGGGTATTTGGGTATTTCCGTGTGGGAAGCCAAGCCCTGTGGCCCCCTAGAAAGTACATAGAGCTAATGCTCTAAGGGCTCTGTTTCCTTATTGGAGGTCTTTAAACAGGACTCAAATTCAGTGGGATAGGTAGATTATATCAAGTCAATCTGAAGACCATTGTTTTAATTGTTCTGCTTTTGTTTCTTTTATTTGTTCCTCTGCCCTAGTAACTGTGTCCCTGTGTGGTCCCTCCTGTCAGTCTCCAACTTGATAATCCCCCTCCCAACACTGCTGCACGCGGGGGTGATTACAGGGCAGCCTGTGTGGGACAGTGGGACACTTGCTCTGCCTACTTTAATTGTTGCTGCCCTACTTCCATTTGCTACAAAGACCCCCATACTCTCTATGCCATCATTTTTCAGCCTCATGCAAT